GCAAGGTGCTGCATGATCCAGCCCTGCGCATCTGTGTTGCCAACCTCCTCTTATGCAGGCCTTGGATTCCATAGCGCTGATCTGCCTCATGGGCCTCCTTTCTGTTTTTCAAACATAATAAGCCCTGTTCTACCCTGGAGGCTGAGTTCTGACCTTTTGTGGCTTGGAAGCTTGAGAACACCTTTCCCAACTCTTACTATGGTTAACTCCTTCTCAGCCTCAGACCTCATCTTAAACGCAGCTCCCTCAGGCAGGCTGACCACCCAAGCTGAACTAGTCCCCTTGGTTTCTCTCCTTCAGAGAGCCTAGACTCTTCTTTCATTGCAGTTACAACAGTTTCAAATGTATTGAGGTGGAGAATTTTGTTCAGAAAGACTCCTAGATCTTACAAGCCTTTTGCTGTTTTTCTTTGTTTTCTGTTTGTTTTTACATCTTAGTCTTCAATCCATCTGAAACTTACTTTGGAGCCCTGGTGGGGCAGTGGTTAAGAGCTCAGGCTGCTAACCAAAAGACTGGCAGTTTGAATCCACCAGCTGCTCCTTGGAAACCCTGTGGGGCACTTCTACTCTGTCTTGTAGGGTCGCTATGAGTCAGAATCAACTTGAAGGCACACAACAACAACATATTGTATTAGACAGGGGCACTTTCACAGTCTGGGCTTCTATAGTACTTTGTTGCCTTCTCTTACAACTCTTTCACTCACTCACTCATCCATTCAACAATTGTTTAATGACTAATGACCACGTATAAGACCCTGTATTAGGCACAAAGGATAAAAAATGACAGAGTTTCTGGGCCCTCAGACTGGAGGAGATCTCGGTAAACTCACGAAAACAGACATGTGAATGGAGAAATGACAATACAGCAAAGCATGGTGATCATAAACTTCTGGAAGGCAAGAAATTCACTTGAGTCTCTCACAGTGAGACATGTGTTTTACCACTGAAATCACTTAATACTTTAATGATAAACCCAAGTGTAAAATCTACGTTATTTTTAGCTTTAACTTTTCTCCAGAGTTCCAAACTTAAGGTGAACTACTGTTACAGGTTGATTTGTGTTCCCTAAAAAGATGTTGAAGTCCTAACCCTGGGTACCTGAGGATGTGACCTTATTTGGAAATGGGGTCTTTGCAGATATAATCAAGTTAAGTTGAGGTCATTAGGGTAGGTTTTAATCCAGTATGACTGATGTCCTTATAAGAAGAGAAGAGACACAGACACAAAGACACACAGGGAGAATGCCGTGTGAAGATGGATGCAGAGACTGGAGTGATTCATCTACAAGCCAAGGAATGCCGAGGATTGCCTGCCATCACCAGAACCTGTGAGTGAGTCATGGAACAGATTCTCCCTCATAGCCCTCAGAAGGAATTGACATTGCCTACACTTTGATTTTGGATTTCTAGTCTCCAGAACTATGAGAGAATAAATTTCTCTTGTTTTAAGCCACTCAATTTGTGGTACTTTGTTATGACACCACTAGGAAACCAGTACAACTGTTTACTAGATATCTCCACTAGGATGTCCTACAAGCATTTACAATACAGATATCCTAAACAGAATTCTTTCCTCCAAAACCTGTCCTCCTTTTCTCTTCACCTCAGTTATCTGAGATAGAAGACTCAAAATCATTTTCAAAGATACCCTTTCCCTTACCGCCACATCTAACCAGTCACTAAGTCCTGTCTGTTCTAGGTCATAAATATTTTGTGATCCATATTGTTGTTCATTTTCTTATTCCTACTATTTTGGGTCAAGCCTTCATTATCACTTCCCAAATTGGTTAAAAAACAAAAACAAAAAATCCCAATAGATCTCCTGGTCTCCTCCCTTTTTTCTCTACAATTTTCTAATTGCCACCAGTCTTATTTCAGAAATACAAATCTGACACTATCACTCTCTTGCTTAAAATTCTTTTGTGGCTTCTCAGTGCTTCTAGGATCAAATTCAAACTTTTTAGCATAGTTCAACAGGCTCTTCTCAATCTGGCTATAGACAAATCTATTCCAACCAAATAATCTAAAAATATGGAAAAAGTTATGTACACAGAACTTCTCATTGGGTATTAATTAGTTTCCTATTGCTGCTAGGAACTTCGTCTCACATACTTTGAACATGTTATCAGGAGCGACCAGTGCCCAGAGAAGGAGATCATGCTTGGTAAAGGAGAGGGTCAGCGAAAAAGAGAAAGACCCTCAATGTGATGGATTGACACAGAGGCTGAAACAATGGGCTCAGGCATAGCAACGATCATGAGGATGGTGCAGTACCCGGCAGTGTTCCGTTCTGTTGTACATAGGGTCGCTATGAGTTGAAACTGACTCTACGGCACTTAACAACAACAACAACATTGCTGCTGTAACACATTACCACAGACTTAGTGGCTTAAAACAACACAAATTTATCATCTTACAGTTCCGAAGGTCAGAAGTCTGAAATGGGTCTCACAGGGCTAACGTCAAGGTGTTTGTAGGGCTGGTTCCCTCTGGAGCCTCTAGAGGAGAATCTATTTCTTTGCCTTTTTCACCTTCTAGAGGATGCCCACATTCCTTAGCTTGTGGCCTCTTTTCTCAGTCTTCAAACTAGCAAAGAGTCTTTATCACGATGTCATGTCTTTCTTTCTGTCTCCTCTGCCTCCCTCTTCCACTTAAAAGAATCCTTATGATTATATTGGGCCTGCGTGGATAATATAGGATAATCTCCCTGTCTCAAAATCAGTTGATATATCAACCTTAATTCCATCTGCAACCTTAATTCCCCATTGCCATGTAACTTAATACATTCACTTATTTTCTTTGGGAAAGTAAAAATATTCACTCTCCAAGACTCTGTTGCAGTAGAAATAGACATGTGATCCAACTCTATCTAACGAGCTGTAAGAGAAAGTCATTGATGCATTTCTAGAAACCCATTTTTTAGAGAGATACTTGACTTTTGTCCCTTTCTTCTTGTTTGGAATGTGGATGCAAACCTGAGGTGTAACAACCTTTTTGTGAGCATGAGGCACCAAGCCTGAGTCTGTTGGATTATACTCTAAGAATGGAGGAGAGGAAAGATGGAAATACACCCGGACTTTCTAGCTCTGGATTTATTTTTGTGTGAGATAAATAACTCCTATCTGCTTAAGTCCATCGGGTTTTCTGTTAATTTGCAGCCAAATGCAACTCTGATACAATTACTTCTATAATTAAAATAAATTAAAGGAGAAAAATTAATTCCAAGTTACATTTCCCCAATTCTTTGTCAGTCCACCTCATGAACAGACCAAGGTCTCTGCTCTCCTAAGCTCTGCTCATACGCTTTTCTTTTCCCTAATGCCTTCTAACTCCTAGCCCACTTCTTTCTCTGCTTAGCAAACGCCTGCTCATCCTTTAAAACAGGTCAAATGTTACATCTCTCGCTAAATCTTTCTCAAGTTTTCCTTGGAAAACTTCCCATGGAAAACTTCCCACGTAATTTTGTACATGCTTCTGTGACAGCACTTTTATAGTGTATCGTATTTGTCTATTTTCTTTACCATCTCCTCCACTGAACTACAAGCAATTGAATGGCAGAAACCATGTTTTGTATTTGTTCCCGCAAAAGCTGGCTTAGCACTCAGTATATATTAGGTGAACAGTAAATATTTGTGAATGGTAAGCTTAATTCAAAAAAAAAACAATGTTAAGATCAGCTAGCATCCTCTCTTTCTTAGTTTATCCCTGTCTTCTCTCCACCTCTGTTACTTTGTTTCTTTCTTTTTCATGGTAAGAGTAGCCAGGAGTTGGAAGTTAGGGAACAGGTATCAGTACTTGGATCATTTTAATTAAGCTGAGAGTGGGGAGATGTGAAGACACATTTGATTGGAAGTAAGAAAGAAGTTGAGAAACTAGGAAGTAAATTAGAGTAAACCCGTTGCTGTCTAGTCGATGTCAACTCATAGCGACCCTACAGGACAGAGTAGAACTGCCCCACAGGGTTTCCAAGGAGCACCTGGTGGATTCAAACTGCTGAAATTTTGGTTAGCAGAGGAGCTCTCAACCACAGTGCCACCAGGGCTCAAAATTAAGAAAGAGAATCTCTCGGTCTCTCCTATCCTAAATCATGAACGGCCATGGCCAAAAGCGCTGTAGTTTTAGCAGACGTAGTCCAAAACTTGGAGTCACAGAGCTGAGGGTTTGAATCCCAGCTCTACCATATATACATCCAATTGACGCTGAGGAGGTAGGTCACTTATGTCCATCTCTCTGAGCCACAGTTTCTTCCTCTGAGTAATGGGAACAGCAGTACCTGCCTGCCTGAGCTCATAGAATTGTTGTGAAGATCAAAAGTGATCAGGCTGGTGCATAAGATTTGCTAAAACACACAATGCAAATGTAAATCATGTAGCTTTATTACATGTACAAGAAACTCACTAAATGTTTGGTGAATAATTGCAAGAATGAGCCCAGTTAGCTGATGATCTTATTTGTATCAAAGACTAAATGCAGAAACAACCTCATGGTTAGGGTTCGCATAAACATGTTGTTATTGTAGTTAGCTGCCGTCAAGTCAGCCCGACTCATGGTGACCCCATGCACAAAGAAATAAAATGCTGCCTGGTCCTGTGCCATCCCCATGATTGGTGGTAGATCAAACCATTGTGATCCATAGATTTTTCACTGGCTGATTTTCAGAAGTAGATCTCCAGGCCTTTCTTCCTTGTTCATCTTAGTCTGGAAGCTCCTCTAAAGACTATTCAGCATCATAACAACACACAAGCCTCCACTGACAGATGGGTGGTGGCTGTGCATGATGTGCATTGACTGGGAATTGAACCCGGGTATCCCGCATAGAAGGTGAGAATTCTACCACTGAACCACCAATGCTTCCGTATAAAACATAACCAGCCTATATGACATTATCGTTATCAAGAAAACTGTCTTCTCCATTAAATTGGTGGTCAGTAGAGTTCCTTTTTGTAGTGTAACAAACCCTTTCATTACACCATTTGAGATATGGCTTGAAACATACCATGCCATCGAAACTTAAATAACACTAAGGTATGTATGACTTATCTCCTTTTCTGAAAACGTGTTTAAATAGGGACTAAGAGGAAACAAGTTTTTTTGTTTTGTTTCATACATTTTGTGTACATCATGTACATAATTTTGTGTACTATAATGTGGTGTACTTTGTGATCTGCACTGCTAAAGAGGAAAATAATTGTGTAACCTACAAGCCAGCCACAAACCCTTCTGGTAAGCTATAAAAGGGACCCCTCCCTATTTCCTCCATCTTATTACCCTTGAAACTTTGGAACGTCTGCTTAATTTAACCTGACAAGTAGCTATATTATGGATTTGAAATTAAAAACATAAAGTATACACAACATAACCCTTCAATTATATATGGACAAAACTGGCTTGGAAGAACACTGGAGTAGATCACAGGGAATTTTATTGATTTGTCCCCTAGATAACAAATGCCCACTAATCTGCTTTTGCTATTATCAAAATCGTCATCACAAACACCATAATGAAAAAAATCCACATGAAGAATCGGTCTATCACTTTTGCAACCTTCTTCCATTCACTCCCCTTGGAATTGGTGGCCTTGTGGTCTTTGAGGCACTTGGCAATGTACTCGATATTCTTCGTCAGCCCATTGTACCGTGCACAGTAATTGTCAGCATCCTGTGGATTCTCACCCTGGCACCCCAAATCATTTTTTAAGAGTTTGTTTATTTCCCTCTTTCTGGAAAGGTCTTTGTTCCCAGCTCTTTTCAGATTAGACTCTGGGAGTTTGCCATAAACCTTTGAGAAGTGGTCCCGCCTCCTGTCATGGCGCCGGCTAAGGCAGCTTTCACCCACGTCATAGACAAACAGGATCCTGGACATGTATTTCAGGATGACCACTCTGGCCCAGTTTGGCACTGGCTGGGCCTCGGCCCCGCAGAAGTGGATATTCATCACCATAATGGTCAAGGCAGTGGAGGCTGTGATCAAGGCCATCGTGGCTATGTAGTATTTGCCTGGAATTAAAACAATCATGACAACCGAGTTAGCTTAAAACTGTCCTCAAGTTTGGCTTAAGAAGAAAGAAATCAAGAACTTTTCTAAAGAACTGATACAGCCTAGTGGTTTCTAGTAGAAGCTTTTGATTCAGATTTCTGCGTTCAAATGCCAGCTCCGTCACTCACTAGACACGTGACCTGTGGCAAGTTATATAATCTTACCAAGCCTTGGCTTCCTTCACTGTAAAGTGGGTTAATAGTAGTATCTAATCCACAAGAGTGTGATGAGGTTCCATTGGGATGACGCAGTAAAGTTCTCAGCATTGTCTCTGCCCAAAGGTAAAAGTTTTATAAATGTTTGCTGAGATCATGATGTAAAAAAATCTTTCTATTTCAAAAAACAAATAATTAATAAACTAGACCAGCTCTCAGAATTGTTCTCAGACCTCGTTAATATGGAAGTCTATTACTATTGAGTAAGAAAGGAGACATTGTGTCACTACTAGTCTTTAAAATGTGGATTATATAAAGCAAATGTTCATGGAAAGGGAAAATAAAGAAAGTAAACAATAAAATAAGGGCACAAATCTATGAAATATAAAGCAAAACAATTGAGAAGATGAACAAAACCAAAAGCAAGCTGTTTGAAAAGACTAATAAAATAAATAAACTTGTGATAAAAGATTGCTCAAGGAAAAAGAGAGAGAGGGAGGGAAAAGATACAAAAGCTGAAATTTAGAAAATAATAAATTAACATTATAAATAGCCATATTGTAATACATTTGATAACCTGGATGAAATAATTAAATTTCTGGAAAAATACATGATGTCAACATTAGTGCAAGAAGAAAGAGAACACTTGAATAGAAATGAGAATCAATCAAATACTTCCTCCCTTCCTCCCCCCAAAAAAGCTTTAGACCCAAAATGTTTTATAGGTGAGTTTTACCAAACTTTCAAGGAATGGATAGATAATTCGTATATATGCAAGTTGTTCCAGAAAAGGAGAGACAGCTGCCCAACACATTTTATGAAGTGAAGATAACCTTGATTCCAAAACTGACAAGAAAGGCGATTTAGGGCTCATTTCACTTATAGACATATTTGAGAAAATCCTATAAAAATAATTAACAAAATCTAACTGAATCCAACAGTTTATTAAAATGATAATACACCATGATAAAGAAGGATTTAGCTCAGGAATACAAAGAGGTTCAACATCCAAAAACTTATTGATGTCATTTACTACAGTAATGGGCTAAAAGAGAAATTCACATGATTATTTTAATAGATGAAGACAAAGCATTTGATAATGTTTGCCATCCACTATTATTTGCTAAAATCTCTGACAAAACTAAAAGTAGATGGAACTTCCTCAAAAAGGTAAAGTCTGTGGGCCGGAAACGTACACCAAATGCTACACTTAATGCAAACATCTAGGACACGTTCCTATAAGATCAGGAGAACGTTCCATACGTGCTATTGCCTCTCATAAACCTGGAGGTCCAAGCCAACATTACAGGACCAAAGAAGTGGTAAAATTGGAAGGGTGGAGGTATAGTGTCATGATTTGCAGATATTTTGCTCATCTACATAGAAAGTTCAATAGGCTTAACAAATCATTAGAATTAATAAGAGATTTTATCAAGATACTAATATCAACTTATTAAAAATCAATAGTATTTCTTCACACCAGGAATAACTAACTCAACAAAATCTTTTTTTTTTTTTAGTGACTACTATATATATAAGATACTATTCACAATAGCAACAACAAGAACAAAAAAATTATCTAGGAAAGAATGCAAAAGGTCTTGTACAAGAATGTACAAGTTATTTAGGGAGACAATATAAAATCTATTAAAGGCTTTTAAGATGAATCATGTGAGCGGAGAGCTATGCCATGTTCACAGATGGGACAATTGTTAGGATAGCAGTCCTCTCTGCCCCTCCTCTGGGCTGCCCCATCAGGGTCCCGGACCTGGAATATCTTCTGATAATTTGTGCTGGATGTTCTGCCTTGTTCTGTGATATCTCCCTGTTACTGGCTTGATGTGTACCTCTTTGTTCTGCTTATCTGTGTATGTCATATGGTGGCCCCTGGCCAACTCTACCTCTATATCTGTTCCTCATGGGAGGAAATGGGGTCTTTCACCTGCAGCATGAGAGGGGTGTGTGCAACCCAACATCCAGTGTTGGCCGTGAGGAGTCCCCCGCTGGCCATGAGGGACTGACGCACATTACTGACGTTGGTATTACTCTTATCTTTCCTGTGAGAACGCTACTACTGTTTTACTCGGTGTCTGTGTAAGTTGTGTCTTTCTTGGTGACCCCGACACGTGAAAACAATGAAATGATTCGACACCAGGCTACTGCTCCTGGTGGCACGCTCTTTGCTATCCTGCACCCGGTGGAACTCCTCTGGAGGGGGTAATAGGTGTCACTCTGACAACAATTTATTATAATAAAGCTTATCAATTCTTTCCAAGTTACTCTATAATTTCAATGCAATTCCAATTAAAATACTATCTGGGTTTATTTATTTATTTTTTTGGAGGGATTAGAAACATTAACGTGACATAAAAACTAAGTTGATGTTTTTCAAAATGTATTAATAATTTAGGATTTGGAGAAAAATGCTTCCCACAAGAACTTTCAGGATATTCGTGTGCAGAGGGCCAGCATTACTGAATACTCATCAAGCTCCTAGGTTATTGGGTAGAGGGGATTATGGTTTCAGACAAGTGCAGGATCAAAGTGACAGGTTAGAAAGAAGGAGATAGTAGAGAAGAACAGGATGAGCAGAGTGGATAAAGTCTGGGTAGAGTGCAGTGACTTCAGGGAACCAGTGCCAAAACCTCAGGATTGGGGTTCCCGAGATCTTTGGACAAATGTGTTCATTGCTATATCACTGGGGCTTAGAACAGAACTTGGCATAGTAAGTGCTCAATAAACTTTTGTTGAATGAATGAATCCAAAGAAGAATGAATAAAATGTCTCTTTATTGGTCTTGGAGCCCTGGTGGTGCAGTGGTTAAGGGTTATGGCTGCTAAACAAAAGGTCAACAGTTCGAATCCACCAGCCACTCCTTGGAAACCCGATGGGACAGTTCTTACAGGGTCGCTATGAGTCGGAGTCAACTCGACAGCAATGGGTTTGGTTTTTTCTTTTTTTATTGGTCTTAACCTTCACCTATACTTAACTATGTTTCCCTTGAGAAATAGATGAAAATGACAGATTGTGATTATTTAAGAAGCATGTGTGCACCCTTCTTAAAAAGATAAATTTCACATAATCACACAAACAGAACAAGTAATGCTTGCAAAATTCCTGTGAGACATCTCTGTTCAGAAATTATGCTAGCTTGCTGTTTAATGTTACTGCCAAAGAGGAGAGAGAGACCTGAAAATTGAGCCTGCCTCAAACAAGATGTCATCACTGCCAATCATTTCTGCCTCAGGAGAGGTAATAACAGTGTCAATTATTTATCCATAGGAAAAAAAAATCCTTCATAAAAGAGGGTTGAGTGTATGTGTGTTGCTTGGAGAAAAATAAAAAGAAGAAATCTCCAGAAAAACCAATGCAGTAATGTCTGAATATTGGATGATACTGAATTCAGTAGATAGTAAAAAGGCAGTAGAATATCCCTTTGTTATTGGTCTTTAAGTCTCTTGGCATTCCAAAATTTCCCCTCGTTGCTTACTTTAAGGAACTGAAAATTAGGCCTAGCTTCAGACTCTGGCAAGCATCTATTACAACAGCAATCCGTTGAGATAGAGGTGTTGGAGCTGAGGGGTGTGCTGGAAGGCAGGAAGTAGGTGTGAAAGGCTGTAGGAAGATCTCAGAACAAAGTAGGTAAAGGAGAAGGGAGACAGGGAAGGTAGTCTCACTCCACACTCCAAACATTGGAGGGACATTTCATGATCACAGATTTTTGGAAATGTCTGCTTTCGAAACACCGAAAGTGCTTCTTTAAAATGCCTATTACCGAATCTTGCCCAAGACAGCTAAGTTAAACTCTTTGGGTGGGGGAATCTGCATTTTAATATCTCCCACAGTTTTTATGCCCAGTAAAAGTTAAGATTTATTCTATTAAAGGCAGACTTAAAAATTCAGCTCATTTCTATCATATTTGCCGCTATTTCCAAGAAGAAAATTCTTATATTGTGAAAAAGTAATAATCACTATTTACTCAGTGCTTATCATATGCCAGGTTCTTTGCTAAGCAACGACACAGTGAGGTAAGAAGCAAACAAATGTTGCAGATGAAGCAGTTTAGACTAAGAGATGAAGCAACTTGACTAAGATTAATCAAGGAGTGAGTGGTGAAATCAGAGTTCAAATGTAGGTTTCTTTGACTTCAAATCAGAGCCCTTGACTTGTGGGTTTCAGAGTTGAACAGAAAGTGCCTCAGAATCACACAGAAGGCTTGTTAAAACAAGTCATATCTGCATTCAAAGATGCCAACTGCAGACACCAAATGAATTATATGACAGTATTGGCCTGAAGTTGATCCAAATGTTATGCATTAAAAAAGGCTCACACACAAACCCAGTCACTACCAAGTAGGCTCAAGGTGCAAGACACTTGAACTTACCTATCAGAGGGACATTTTCTGAGGCTGGCATGATCTCTGCCACCATTAGCTGAAATACTGTCATGGCCAAGAGGATTGTCACTCCCAGGGACACCTTTTCCCCAGAGGCTGCTGGGAGGTAAAAACTCAAGGGGGCCAGAAAAGATATGAGGACACATGGGACGAGGAGGTTGACAATATAGAACGATGATCTCCTCTTCAGAAGGAGAGTGAATGTCACATCTGGGTAAGGCTCAGAGCAGCAGCCATAGGAGATCACATTTTTCGCAGCAGGCATGCCATGGACCTCCCACTCCACATCCTCAATGAAATCGGAGAGGTCTCCGCTGTCCAGAGCATTGAATATGTCCACCTGATTGCCGTTGTATGTCCAGGAACCAAAGGTTAGGTTGCACTGCTGCTTATCAAAAGGGAAGTAGGTGACATCCACCACACAGGAGCTCTTGGTGATGGCTGGTGAATCCCAGGTGATCAGCCCATCGTACCGCAGGACCACATTGGTGTTCACAGGCTCTGAAGACTCATCATCTGCCCTGGAGGTCAGAGAGGAAAATGGAAGCTTACTCTAGATAGCTTACTGCCCCATGCCTGTCACTTGAGTGTTTTTACCAATGGATCGCCATTTTCCCTACCACTCCAGCTTGAAAACTTGCAATCAACTTTAATTTACCTTCCTCCGTCTCCTGTAACTAGTCAGGGGCCAAGTTTTCTTAGATTCTTTAAAGCATCTCTGCTCAATGTCCTTTCCTCTCCATTCTCAATGTCACTCTCTTGGTCCAGGTATATGCAAACATCCAGACCAAAAAAAATCCTTGCTGAGGCTAAAATATGACAGGGAGTCTCTGTTTTCTTGATTTTGTTAACTTTGGGAACCAAAATGTTAAAATAGTTTTTTGTTGCTGTTGTAAGAGTTGTACATGTTTGTTGTAGAACATTTGGAAAACACAGAAAAAATAATTCAATCACTCATAATCTTTGAGATAATCAAGCATTATAGACATGCGTTCTTTTTTGCTTTATCAACATTATGCCTGTCCTTTTTGGTTATAGAATTTCAGTTTTCCTTTAGGGGATTACTCTTTCGCCACCACCACTGCAAGGTGGCAGAACTGTTGATCAAAGGTGCATCAACCTCCCCAGGCCAGGGGCTGGCTGTGTGACGCAAGTTAGGCCCAACTGATTCTGTCTCCTTGGAGTTCAGATCCAAAGTGGCCCAAAGAGTAAAAACAGGTGAAACAGAGTCACCCTTTAAGATCATTTTTTAAGATTTGCCTTTGCAATCCCCTTATTGGATGTCTCCATGTGGATGTTCCTTTGGTTTCCCAAACTGAACATGTCCCACACGAAAGTCATCATTTTTTTATCCAAACTTCTTCCTCCTCCCCCTCCTTTACTTCCAATCTCATCTGAAAGTTTTGCCATCCTTTCAATCATCTAGGCTATGTATTGTAACCTTAAAACTAAATTCTAGACAAATCCTCCCGAATGATTCTGACTCATAGTGACCCTATAGGACAGAATAGAGCTGCCCCATATGATTTCCAAGGAGTGGCTGGTGGATTCAAACTACCAACCTTTTGGTTAGCAGCCAAGTTCTTAACCACTATGCCACCAGAGCTCCTCTGAATGCATTAGTGTACCCAGTTCTTCACTAGGTCTGAAATCCAACAAAACTGTCCATTAAAATCCAGCCATTAACCCTAAAGAATCCACAAGAAAACTAGTGGAACTAATAGAAGATTTCAGCAAAGTTTCAGGATACAAGATAAACATACAAAAATCAGTTGGATTCCTTTACACCAACAAAGAAAACCTTGAAGAGGAAATCACCAAATCAATACCATTTACAATAGCCCCCAAGAAGATAAAATACTTAGGAATAAATCTAACCAGAGACGTAAAAGACCTATACAATGAAAACTCTAAGACACTACTGCAAGAAACCAAAAGAGACCTGCATAAGCGGAAAAACATACCTTGCTCATGGATAGGTAGAGTCAACATTGTGAAAATGTTAGTTCTTCCCAAAGCGATCTACAGATACAAGGCAATCCTGATCCAAATTCCACTGGCATTTTCTAATGAGATGGAGAAACAAATCACCAACTTCATATGGAAAGGGAAGAGGCCCCGGATAAGTAAAGCATTACTCAAGAAGAAGAACAAAGTGGGAGGCCTCACACTACCTGATTTTAGAACCTATTATACTGCCACAGTAGTCAAAACAGCCTGGTACTGGTACAACAACAGATACATAGACCAATGAAACAAAACTGAGAATCCAGATATAAATTCATCCAACTATGAGCAGCTGATATTAGACAAAGGCCCAAAGTCCATTAATTGAGGAAAAGACAGTCTCTTTAACAAATGGTGCTGGCATAACTGGATATCCATCTGCAAAAAACTGAAACAAGACCCATACCTCACACCATGCACAAAAACTAACTCAAAATGGATCAAAGACTTAAATATAAAATTGAAAACGATAAAGATCATGGAAGAAAAAGTAGTGGCAATGCTAGGAGCCCTAATACATGGCATAAACAGAATACGAACCATAAATAACAATGCACAAGCACCAGAAGAGAGACCAGATAAATAGGAGCTCCTAAAAATCAAACACTTATGCTCATCAAAAGACGTCACCAAAAGCGTAAAAAGACAACCTACAGACTGGGAAGAAATTTTTGGCTACGACAAATCCAATCAGTGTCTAATCTCTACAATCTACAAAATACTGAAAAACCTCAACAACAAAAAGGAAAATAACCCAATTAAAATGGGCAAAGGATATGAACAGGCACTTTGCCAAATAAGACATTCAGGCGGTGAATAGACACATGAGGAAGTGCTCATGATCATTAGCCATGAGAGAAGTGCAGATCAAAACTACAATGAGATATCATCTCACCCCAACAAGGCTATCCTTAATCCAAAAAACAAAAAATAATAAATGCTGGAGAGGTTGTGGAGAGACCGGAACACTTATACACTGTTGGTGGGAATGTAAAATGGTACAACCACTTTGGAAATCAATTTGGCACTTCCTTAAAAAGCTAGAAATAGATGTACCACATGATCCAGCTATCCCACTCCTTGGAATATATCCTAGAGAAATAACAGCTGTCACACGAATAGATATATGTGCCCCCATGTTCATCGCAGCACTGTTCACAATAGCAAAAAGATGGAAACAACCTAGGTGCCCATCAACGGACAAATGGATAAACAAATTATGGTATATCCAGACAATGGAATAGTACTCAATGATAAAGAACAATGTTGAAGCTGTGAAACATAACATGGAGGAAGCTGGAGGTCATTACACTGAGTGAATTTAGTCAGTCACAAATGGATAAATATTGTATAAGACCACTATTATAAGAACTCAAGAAAAGGTTTAAATACAGAAGAAAACATTCTTTGATGGCTAAAAGGGTGTGGAGGGAGGGGGAGGGTTATTTACTAACTAGATAGTAGGTGAGAGTTACCTTAGGTGAAAGGAAGGACAGCACACACTACAGGGGAAGTCAGCACAAATGGACTAAACCAAAGCTAAGAAGTTTCTTGAATACGATCAGACACTTTAAGGGATAGAGTAGCAGAGGTAGGGGTCTGGGGACCATGCTTTTAGGGGACATCTAGGTCAATTGGCATAACAAAGCTTATTAAGAAAATGTTCTTCATCCTACTTTGGTGAGTGGCGTCTGGGGTCTTAAAAGCTTGTAAGTGGCCATCTAAGATGCATCAATTGGTCCCAACCACCTGCAGTAAAGGAGAATGAAGAACACCAAAGACACAAGGACAGTTAGCCCAAGAGACAGAAAGTTCCACATAAACCAGAGACTTCATCAGCCTGAGACCAGAAGAACTAGATGGTGTCTGGCTAGCACCAATGACCGCCCTGACAGGGAACACAACAGAGAGTCCCTGATGGAGCAGGAAAAAGGTGGGGTGCAGAACTCAAATTCTAGTAAGAAAACCAGACTTAATAGTCTGACTGGGACTGGAGGTACCCTGGAAAGCATGGCCCCTGGATTCTCTATCAGCCCAGAGCTAAAACAATTTCTGAGGCCAACTCTTCAGACAGAGATTGGACTGGACTGTGGGACATAAAGTGATACTCATGAGGAGTGTGCCTCTTAGCTCAAGTAGATACAAGAGACTAAACGGGCAGCTTCTGTCCGGAGGTGAGATGAGAAAGCAGAGAGGGTTAGGAGCTGGTTGTATGGACATGGGGAATCAGGGGTGGAAAGGAGGAGTGTGCTGTCACAGTATGGGGAGAACAATTAGAGTCACATAACAATGTATGTATAAATTTTTGTAAGGGAAAAAATTTTTTTAAAAAATCTATCCATTAAATCTTTCCCATAATAAATGCAAATTTGAAATTTCTGTAGCCTACTCTTTACCTAATCTAAAAATGCCAGGAATCTTTGCAGCCTTTTTGTTAGCCACCACCCCCGACTAGGACTTTGAGCTCCAATTCATTTACCCCTTTACTGATTTGCTAACAAACATAGAGTCAGTATCTGCTTGAACTATTATGTTGCTGAAGATCTCACAACCTCCTGGAAAAATCTGTTGCTCAAGTTATTAGGGAAATTTTCTTTGATTGAGTGGAGTCTTCCTTCCTTTAACTTCTTCTTATTGTCTTGGGTTTTGTCCTCTGGAGCAATTTTCTCTACCTTCTTTTCTTAATGACTGTCTAAGACAAATATCAAGTCTTCCCATAGACTCCTGTCTTCCAAACTAAGCACCAAAAAAATTCAACTGCTCCTCATAGACATAGCTTCCAAGCCCATTGCCATCCTGATTACTTCCTAACAAGTCTAACCCCATGGATGTAGACACCAACAATGAGTCTAGATGCCAAACATCTTCCTGCCCAAACTATCCTTATCACACCAGACTGAATCAACTGTCATGACACTCCTTTCCCTCTCCACCACCACTCAAGAAGTCCATTTTGTGGTCTACAAAATTCTATGACAGCTCATGATAAGTGATGACATTATATCTGGGATCAGAAGTTTCCTCAGGGTCACAAATTCAGATAGAAGGGCCAGAGTCAGAGAAACAGCCTTGACTGAGGTTTCTCCTTTTCCTGATGAAATAACTCTCTTCTATTCTCATTTTAGGAGTCCCTGGGTGGTGCAAACAGTTAATATGCTTGGCGGCTAACTGAAAAGTTGATGGATCGAATCTACCCAGAGGCACCTCGGAGAAAGACCTCATGATCTACTTCCAAAAAAAATCAGATGGGGCCCAGTTCTGCTTTGACACACATGGGGTTGCCATGAGTCAGAGTCGGCTCAATGGCAACTGGTTTGGTATTCTCATTTCAGTTGGTTAAAGGAATGTAAATGCTTCTCTTAGAGCTCCTTCAAAATAGTAAAACTCTGAAATCACTGAGAAGGAGAAGGTAGAGGAGAAAAAGTATCAGAAATGGAATTGTCCATGACAGGAGAGCAGAAGACTAAAGAATCAACCCAGAGGAACAGCAATAAGTTGATTAAAAAGCATGGTGAAAAGGCTCTATGTGAAAAAGGGATTTTTTCACACATCTCAAGGCCAGTAATCTAGAGGGGATGGTAAATGGGGACAGAATTTATAAAAGCCACAGTAGTTTTGTGTGAGCTCATGAGCATCTAATTGGCTTCTCTAATAACAAAGTACTGGAGTAGGTCCTGGTGGCACAGTGGTTAAGAGCTTGGCTGCTAACCAAAAGTTTGGCAGTTCAAATCCACCAGCTGCACCTTGGAAACCCTATGGGGCAGTTCTACTCTGTCCTGTAGGGTGGCTATCAGTTGGAATCGACTCGACGGCAATGGGTTTGGCTTTGGGAGTAGGCTTATCGTGTATTATGGGTTGAGTTGTGTCCATCACAAATATATTTCAAGTCCTAACCCCTCATACCTATGGATGTGGCCTTATTTGGAAATAGCATCTTTGCAGATGTAATTAGTTAACATGAGGTCATAGTGGGGTAGGGTGGACCCTTGATCTGACTGGTGTCCTTATAAAAAGAGAAAAGACAGATGCAGAGAAGAGAATCCCATGTGAAGACACAGACACAGAGAGAAGATGCCATACGAAAATGAAGGGAAAGATGGCAGTTACGCTGTCACTAGCCAAGGAGCACGTGGGATCATCAGAAGCCAGAAGAGGCAAGGAAGGATTCTTCCCCAGAGCATGGACCTGCCAACACCTTGATTTCAGACTTCTGGCCTCCAGAACTGTGAGATAATAAATTGCTGTTATTTTAAGCCGCCCAGCTTGTGGTGCTTTGTTATGACAGCCCTAGGAAACTAATACACAATGCAAGCTGGGAAAGAAGTGTTTCAATAAGAGCTGGTCACTGCCTCTGCCAGTCAAAGCAGGATGCAGTAGAGGACCAGCATTCTATATGTTTTCCAGGGAGAAAAAAATGTTAGGACTTGTAAAATGTTGTGAGAGATTTCTGTTAACTGTATTCTCGGATTACTCTCCTGCACCCTATGGGTGAGAGAGAGGTAATCGACAATATGGCTCATTTTGTTGCTGTGTATGTGTGTGTATGCGTGTTTGTGGGAGAGAGAGAGTGCATGAACATGGGAAGGGAGGTGGACTGTAGTGATAAAGCACCATCCCTTGAATGTTATCTTGCTTGGGAAGGGATATGGAAGACCCCGCTGGCCACTCAGAGTGAGAAATGGACAGTAGGATCAGGGCTAAGAATCAAGAGGTCATGACCCTTGGACAGCTGAGTAAGGAGCAAAATGACTAAAATCTAGCCTCAACTTAGCAGAGTTGCTTCCTGAAGGGAAATTCATGCCCACCAAAAGGTCCAGGGGACCTCCCTGGGCTGCCCCTCATTCACCTTGTTCTGAGTTACAGAGTTTTTTGCAACCCACAGAAATGGGTTCCAGAACAAAATGAGAAAGAAGCCCCTTCAACAACAAGTGGAGTAATTCAACTTGATTTTGTAATGGAGTAATCTGGTTCCTTCTCAAAGTGTGGTCCAAGAGCCAGCAACACCAACATTATCTGGAAGTTTGGTAGAAATGCAGACCCTCGGGCCCCACCCTAGATCTACTGAATGAGAATCTGTATTTTAACAAAATTCCAAATGTTTATTTGTGTGCACATTACAGTTTGAAAAACATAAACTGACCTACTCGTTTACATAAGGCCCCTTGCTCTGAGACCAGGAACAGACCAACTGGTGATCTCATGATCTGATTTATCCTCAGTCCTCCACAAAGTCCAAAGTCCATAGCCTAGTTTCTAGCCAGACCGTTCTGATTTGATTTTAATAGTATCATTGTTTTTGATACATGATCTTGGATAAGTCAGGGCCTTCAATTTTTCATCTGAAAAGGAGGAATTTAGATTGATTGGATTCAAGAATCTCTAGTTCTAAGCTTTCATGATCACAAAATTTAAATAATGAAATAATAATAACCTAGGGACATGAATTAGTACTTAACTCCACACGTGTTTTAAACATTTCTTTTTTATCTTGTTTAAATTCTGTTCAGTCAACAAATTGAAGCTCAGTCCTGACAAACCACAGGTCTGATTTGCGCTTACTTGTTATACAGGACAATGTCCGGCCTCCATACCAGGTCGCTGGGGATCCTGATGGAGTCCAGCCCATCATATAGGTCTCGATCCCACTTGAGATATGCGTCATGCCAGATTTGGCGGATCCATAAGTAGGCGGTCAGAATTTGGTTTCTTTCATCCTGCATAATGAACCTAGATGTAACTTTGTCTAGTAGGAACCTCAACCAAATGTCCTCCTTTATGGATTCAATTGTGTCTCCCCAAAATATGTGTTGAAATCCTAACCCCTATGCCTGTGGATGTAATCTAATGTAATGTAATGAAATAACTTCCTGCGATGCAATCTAACATAATGTAATCAGTCGGTTGAGGTCATACCAGTGTAATCACTTCTGAGTTATATCAAGCGCAGCACACACATACACAACGCACACACGCATGCACACTCGCACACACGATGGGGAAGACAGAGGTGAGGATCATCTACAAAGGAACCCCAAGGATTGCCAACAGACACCAGAAACTAGGAGAGAAGCTCACAGAAAGAATAGACATGGATGCGACCAGCTTTGGCCTTTTAGCCTCCACAACTGGAGATTTTTTGTTTTTAAAGCCGCCCACTCATGGTATTTCTGTTAAAGCAGAATTAGGAAGCTAAGACAGCCTCCATCTCTAGAACACTTGTTCTTCGCAATAGGAATTGCAAGAGCACTAACCTATTTTCAGGGAGCCCTTGTGGCATAGTTGTTAAGTGCTTGGTTGCTAACTGAAAGGGTGGGTTTCGAACCCGCCAGCCACTCTGCAGGAGAAAGATGTGGCAGTCTGCTTCCATATAAAGATTTACGGCCTTGGAAACCCTACGGGACAGTTCTACTCTGCCCTTCAGGGTCACTAAGAGTCAGAATCAACTCGATGGCAGTGGGTGTTTTTCTTTAGTCTTTACGGAAGCAGGCTGCTGCATCTTTCTCCCATGGAACAGCTGGTGGGTTTGAACTGCCAAACTTTCAGTTAGCAGCTGTGTGCTTAACCACTGCACCATCAGGCTCCTTTCCGTAAAGATTACAGCTTTGGAAACCTTATGGGGCAATTCTACTCTGTCCTATACAGTTGCTGTGAGTCGGAATCGATTCGACGGCAACAGGTTTTTTGGTTAATCTATTTTCAATACATAAATGAGAGCTGTTTTATTCTATCCCCTTGATTGACTACGAAAGCCATATTCTTTTTCGGCTTGATTTAGTGTTCAAAATGTAAAGTGGACAAATCAGATCTTTGCATAGATCAACTGCTCAAAGTTCTCTGTAAATCAATCAACTAATGACATATTTGAATGAGGAAGTCAGGAGATATCTCAATGAACAGAAGGCAAATCCTTGAGGTTTCATACCTTTGTGTAATCAAATACCCATAAGCACTAAATAAGGCGTGTCATCTTAAAACAATAGTTTTTTTTTAATTAAGGGAAAATTTACATAACATAAAACCATTTTAACTATTTTAGGTGTTTTAATACTAATAATTTTAATACTTAATATTCAATGACTTCCAGTGCATTCACAACGTTGTGCAATCATCAAACACTAATTCCAGAACATTTTCATCACCCCAGAAAGCAATCATTCCCCATACCCCTTCACCCCAGCCCCTACCAACCACTAATCTGCTTTCCATCCCTATGGATTTTCCTACTCTGGACATTTTATACAAACAGAACTATACAATATGTAAGACCACATTTCTTTAGATGATCTAAGATGGTTACAGTTAATGGCCAGGATTAGGTAACATTTAGTGAAATTAATTTTGTAGAAAGCTTCCCCTGGTGCTCCCTTCTCCCTCCAGCTCGCACACAGAGCTATCTGCTCTCGTCCCCTCTCCAATTCCCAGTTAGGACAGTCCATCTGGAAAGGACAGTTGTTTTTCATTCTAAGCAACATTCCAGAGAGTCACTACCATATGTTACTCACCATATCCTTTATCTGAGAAAGTGTAATCTGCAGAGTAACATTCAGGACTTTATCTGTATCTTCCACTGGACGGAGAGCATTGCAATAATCTTCAAAAAGGTCATTGAACAACTTCTGAGCATATTTTCCATCTGCTGACTCTACAGCTGCTCAAAAAGAGGAACCTTGGATCAAAATTTGGAGTGTTATGTGTATTTCAAGGCAAAGAATGCCAGACTGAGGTCTAAAATTGGGGACCACCCAGCATCAGTTAGAGACAAACTTTGGGTCCGTGGGAGTTGTTTTTTCGTATGCCCTACACAGATCAGGGAATCCCTGGATTGTGCAAAGGTCAAGGGTACAGCTACTAACTGAAAGGTTGGCAGTTTGAATCCACCCAGAGGTGGATCGAAAGAAAGGCCTGGCAATCTACTTCCGAAAGATCACCCACCAACTGTCCACTGCCATTGAGCCAATTCTGACTCATAGCGACCCTATAAGACAGAGTAAAGCCGCGCCATGGGGTTTCCAAGGCTGTAAATCTTTATGGAAGCAGACTGCCACATCTTTCTCCCACAGAGCAGCTGGTGGGTTAAAATGCCTACCTTTTGGTTAGCAGCCAAGTGCTTTAACCACTTCGCCACCAGAGCTCCTTCTGAAAGATCACAGCCATTGAAAACCCTGTGGGGTGCAGTTTTACTCTGAAACACTTGGGAGCCCCATGAGTAAAAACCAACTCTTTGGCAACTGGTTTGGTTTGGTTTTTTGGCCCAGCTCAACATGAGTCAGTAAGGAGCACTGACCATTTCCATGCAGTTAAATCATTTGTCCTGTCTTTCCTGCCCCACCTCACTCCACCCCCAAACAAAGAAATCGCCTGAGATGAGCCCAGGTGGTTACATGCCGCTAGCCCCTCACCTCTCAGTCTGGAGGCAGCAAAGTAAATCAAACAAAAGGAGATGCAGGAATAGGGCCAGTTCATCTTTCTCCTGAATCTATGAAGCCCCAGTCAGGCAGCTGTCTTCTATTTGCCTCTGTGAGTGGGAAGGGTCCAGACACAAGACCCTACTCTGCCCGGTCTCACTGTGGTAGGTGGAGAGCTCAGGCTTGCACTACCAAAAGGATCTGAGGTCTTGAGAGCCAGATCTGCTCTCCCTCCCCCTCCGGTAATCCGAGACTGGCAGCTCCAGTGGCTGAGATGCCTGGAGCCCAGGGTGGGTTTACATCAGGCAGTGTTGTTCTGGGGGAGCCATCCCAGTTGAGGCTCCCTAAGAGAAGTAGGAGCATAACTCAGGGGAATGTCCAACACCCCAGTTCGCCTAAGCAGAACGGGAGCTTTCTAGGTCTGCAGCAAGCAAATTCAGTTTGAGTCAAGGGACTTGTTAGCTGCTATCGAGCTGGAGTCAGCCTCAGCTTATGGCAACTTCATGCACAACGGAACAAAAAACATCGGTTGTGGATCGGACCATTGTGATCCATATGGTTTTCAGTTACTGATTTTTGGAAGTAGATCTCAAGGCCTTTCTTCTTAGTCCATCTTAGTCTGGAAGCTTTGCTGAAACTTGTTCACCATCACCTCCACTGACAGAGGGGTGATGGCTTTGCATGAGATGCATTGTCCAGGAATCGAACCTGGGTCCCTCACAGGGAAGGTGAGAATTCTACCACTGAATCACCAATGCTCCTGAGTCCAAGAACTAAGGGAAGCTAAACAGACTGTCTTAGGCTGGGTTCTCTAGAGAAACAAAACCAGCAAAGTGTACAAATATATACATAGAAAGAGATTTATATCAAGGAAACAGCCCGTGCGACTGTAGAGGCTAGAACGTCCCAAGTCCGCGGATCAGGGTAGAAGCCTCTCCCAAGTCACGCAGCCACAGAAGCCGGCGAGCCCAAGATCGGCAGGTTAGAGAGCAGGGCTCCTGCTCACAGGCTGTGAAGGTTGATGAATTCCAAGATTGGCAGGCAAGACCACAAGGTTTCTCCTGATTGTCATAGCTGCAGGGGCTGGCGAACCCAAGATCGGCAGGTCAGAGAGCAGAGTTCTGCTCACAAGCTGCAAAGATCGACGAATCCCAAGTTCGGCAGATAAGCTGACAGCTCAAGTCCCAAGAACTGGAGATGAGACGACAGGAGGCAGCCACAGGATCCAGAGTGAGCAAAAAGCCAGAATGTCTGCTTATATTCAGATGCAGGCCACACCCCCAAAGAAACTCCCTTTCATCTGACTGGCTACTCACACTATATTCAATCATGGGAGTGAGCACATTAAAACACTGAGAATCATGGCCTAGCCAAGTTGACGCACAATCTTAACCATCACACAGACCCAGCCACAGGGCAGCCAGCCAGAACGGCCCTATGTGCTTCTAGCAGCACTTAGGGAAAGACAAGCAATTCCACGATCTCTAGAACATATTGGACTAACATTTTGGTTTTCTTCCCTACCTTCTGCTTCTGACCATGCTTCAGTTGTCCCATTGGGCCTGGACCTTTTGTAGTAAATCTCTGTGTGTGAGTATATGTGTGAGGGGTGTGCTGGATGGGAAAAGAGCATCCACTCCCCTAAGAAGCCGCAACACTGTGAATTGGACTTGGAATCAACTGCCAGCCCCAACTCTTACTAGCTCTATGATTCTGGACAAGTTACCTAACCTCTCCGAGCCTTCCTGAACTATAGACTGGGGAAAATAATATTTTCTTTCTCCCAGAGATACTGGGAGATAAAGTATGCAAAAGCCCTTTGTAAATTGTAAAGTACTATGTAAGCATTCCACCACTTGTCTGTCAGTTTGTCGTACTGTGGTGGCTTGCATGTTGCTGTGATGCTGGAAGCTATTGCCACTAATATTTCAAATACCAGTAGAGTCATCCATGGTAGACATGTTTCAGTGGAACTTCCAGAATAAGACAGACTAGGAAAAAATGCCTGGCAATCTACTTGAGAAAATTAGCCAATGAAAACCTTATGGATCACAACAGACTATTGTCTGATATAGTGCTGGAGGATGAGCCCCTAGATTGGAAGACACTCAAAATACACAATAGCCACATCAATGGACTCGAGCATACCAATGATCCTGAAGATGGTGCAGGACCTGGTAGTGTTTCGTTCTGTTGTATATGGCGTCTCCATGAGTCAGAGCCAACTCAACACCAACTAACAACAACATGTAAGCGTTAGGAATTTTTACCCCTGATTAGCTTTGCAGATTCAGAATTCCTACATTTACCAAGTCACCCAGGATCTACCAGCTTTAAAAAACTGGTTCAAAGGCTAACCAAATCAGTATGAGAATGATTCATAACCAACGATGATATTGCTAAGAATGATAGCCCTTCCCATTTGAATGCTACTTTACATAATTGCACATTTATTTCTCATATGTGATCTAATTTTGTTCCCACAAAAGAAGTGGATTTCCAATTGCCATGTAGTTTGGGAACTCATGTCTGTCTCTCCCCTTGCTGAGGGGAAACTGCCTTGGAAAACCAAATTAAGATAATTCAGTTGCCTGGAATCAGAGCAAGGAAATTGGAGAGCTCTATTTCATCAGGTTACAGCTGTCTGATAAGTCATCCTGTACCTCTTCAGGAAAATATCCTCCGAGTGAAACAGCCACTCAAGCCATCAGTTAAATGTGGGTCTTAAGTGCCTATGCCCTTGTGATGATTGTGAAGATATTATTTTCCTGATGCCTCTAGTCTGATTCACCCATCAAATGACACAATTCTTTTTTTTATTGTATTTTAGGTGAAGGTTTAGAGAACAAATAGTTTCTCATTACACAGTCAGTACACATATTGTTTTATGACATTGGTTAACAAGCCCAAGACATGTCAACACTCTCCCTTCTCAAACTTGGAGGACCTTTTTTCATTTTTGGTAAAAATATACATAGCCAAAGATACAACATTTCAAAAATTTCTACATGTACAATTAAGTGACATCGATTGCATTCTTCCAGTTGTGCTGCTTTTCTCACTATCCTTTATTATTCCATCACCATTATCTTCAACTCACTGCCCCCTAGGCATCAAACCTTTTGAGTTGCTGTTGTCAATCTGATCTCACATAGATAATTCTTTTTTTTTGTACTTTAGATGAAGATTTACAGAAGAGAATAGTTTCTCATTAAACAGTACACATATTGCCCTATGACAATGGTTAACAACCCCACACAAGTTAACACTGTCCTTTCTCAACCTTGGGTTCCCTATCACCAGCTTTCCTGTCCCCTCCTGCCTTCTAGTCCTTGTCCCTGGACTGCTGTGCCTCATCAAACGACACAATTCTTGCTGCTCACACTCAGGCCTTCTTCAGCAACCATCCCCATAGGGATCTCAGAAGCTGAAGGTACATTCAAGATTAAGTCTAATGCCTCAGTTTCACATGAGGAAATTGAGGCCAAAAGATAAGAAGTGGCTTGCCCACAGTGATGGTTGGCCAGTGGCAGAATTTCCCTCCTGCTCCAGCCCAGCGCGCTCACCACAACACTAAGGCTTCTTCTCCTTCTTATTGTTTTTCATCAACTTGGCATTTAACACCAGGTAGGAGGTAGGTGGTGACTACCTTGCGGGCAGAGACTCTCTACTTTGTATTCTTTTATTCCTTACAATACTCAGAGCAGTACCTGGTGAATAGGTGCTCAGTGACTACTTGGTGCTAGCTGCTATGGTTACTGCTTAAAAGCTCCCTCTAAGGTAATCATCTCTGGTAATCTTTGGTCGATTTTGATTAACTTAGTTCATTCAGCTGGACACCACTTTTGAAAAATGGTAACAGTTGGTGCTCACCTCTCAATGTTAACTTAAACCAAAACTTTTTGGGGGCGATTCTACCATTTAGAACAAAGATGCTAATGACTAGAGAGTAGACTCCTCTCGACTTCATTCTAAAAACAGCTACTAGGTGTTTTCCCGGGGACCTGCTCAGCTTCAGCCCAATCAGTACCCCTTGCTCAGCTCCAAACCATACTCTTAAAAAAGACCTGCAACCTAGTGTGGTCCTATAGCTTTTAGCATGCTTGAATGGAAGAAAAAAGCAGTTGAATTCGCCATTTAGGGTTCAATAAGGCTGGAGAGGATTGAATAAATTGAATTGTGTCCCTCCAAAAAGATATGCTGAAATCCTAACCCCATACTTGTGAATGTGACCTTGTTTGGAAATAGGGTGTTTGAAGATGTTATCAGTTAACATAAAGTCATACTGGAGTAGGGTGGGTCTTAGTCGAATATGAGTGGCATATTTATAGAAGGGGAAAAGAGATACAGACAGACAGACACAGAGGGAAGATGGCCACGAGACTATGGAATAAGAATCGGGGTTATGCTGCAGCTGCTAGCCAAGGAACGTCTGGGGCTACCAGAAGCTGGGAGAGACAAGAAAGGATCTTCCCCTAGAGCCTTCACAGACAGCATGGCCCTTCTGACACCTTGATTTTGAACTTCCAGCCTCCAGAACTGTGAGACGATAGACCCAGATTGTGGTATTTGTTATGGCATCCCTAAGAAACTAATATAGCACGCAAATACGGGTTGGACTGATTTTCTAAAATGTAGGCTTGGGCCATGAAAATAATCTGAATAAACCTTAGTTATCCAGAAATTTTACAGCCAGAGTATATGCTATTTCCTGAGTGCCCCAATTAACTTCAATTTGGTCATATCTGTTCAAATATTAATTCAAGTTAACAGAATGTTCCACTTTTTAAGTTTGGAAGTTCATGGTTCTCATGTCAGCAGCTACCTTACCTGAGGCCCATGAATGGAAATTCTGAATAGCATCCACCACAGTTTGTGTAATGTCATCGCCCAAGAGATTACATTACACCACTCGTTTCTCATACTGTAGTGACTTGCTGGTTGCTGTGATGCTGGAAGCTATGCTGTATTACAAATACTAGCACAGTCACCCATGGCAGACAGGTTTCAGCAGAGCTTCCCAACTAAGACAGGCTAGGAAGAAGGACCTGGCAGTCTACTTCTAAAAAAAAAAAAAAAAAAGACCAGCAAAAACCTTATGAATAGCAGCAAAATATTGTCTGATACAGTTCTGGAAGATAGATAAGCACCTCTGGTGGGAAGGCACTCAAAAGACGACTGAGGAAGAGCTGCCTCCTCAGAGTAGAGTCGACCTTAATGATGAGGATGAAGTCAAGCTTTTGGGATCTTCATTTTCCGAGGTGGCATCACTCAAAATGAGAAGAAATAGGTGCAAACATCCAATAGTAATCAGAACATGAAACGTACAAAGTATGAATCTAGGAAAATTAGAGGTCATCAAA